CTCATTCATTCCGTTTTTAAATGAAGTTTTAATCTAATAAACACGAGTTACGTGTTAAATAACTGATTTACTTAAACATCTTACTATAGTCTTATAAAATATAAAGTATGAATAAAAGTTGTATTCATACCTAGAAGTACAACCTACGAGGAGTGAATAAACTACAATTCAGCAATCATCACACTAACTGAAATACTGGATAAGTACATACTGCATAGTATAAAATTGATTTTCCTAATACAAGGGAAAATAATACAGGGCAATGAGTATATTTTTTTTTTTAAATTGGAATTTTAAAAATATTTTTTTTCTTTTAGTTTTTAGACTCCAATGTAATTTTATTTAATTTGAGAACTATATGCTTTGTAATTCTCCACTAAACTTTCAAGACTTAATGTACTATCAATTTATACACACACCACATATAGGGGGGGGCTTAGGGGGTATTAGCACCCCCAATTTTAAAATTAGCACCCTCAAATAATGATCGTGCCATATGTATCAAAAACTTCTTTCAAAAAAAAAAACTAAAATTACCAAATGCATAGCATAAGCACCCTTAGTTTTTTTTATTGAAATTGCGCCTATGCATGGAGAAAATATACCTACATAAATATATATAATATAGTTGGCAGTAGATTTCTACACGGATTAAACASATAAAAATATTTGTTTTTATAACTTGTCATTTCAAAGGTTCCCCTGGCGTACCACCGCTGTTTCTGGGTAATATACTATCGTAATGCTATTTATAGATTATAATTTATTCAAACTTCAAAGAATTATTCTTATAATGATTAGATATAGATACCCAAAAAGAGTTATTTATATATTAAAGTATTATACTTTCTAATTAACATTTAGATAATATATTATGTATTTTCCAACCTATATGGGTCAAAATTGATTTGATCACTAGCATATACCTATGATTAAAACATTTGATTTATATGAATCTACTAGCAGCTATTTACCGTACAAAAATACAACTATAAATTAATTTTTAGGTTTGACTGGTAGAAGAATCTAACTTGCATGTCACAATATCAAACAGGTTGG